TAAAGCAAATAGAAGAAATGACAAGATAAAAGACTGAACAGAAGATTCGAAGAGCAGCTTGAGCACACAAAGCCAATTAGTATAATGAAATGTGCAAAGACCTGGAGCTAGAAAACCAAAAAGGAAGAACATGCTCAGCATTTCTCAAGCTGAAAGAAATGAGGAAAAATTTAAGCCTCAAGTTGCAATATTGAAAGATTCTCTGGGCAATATATTGAATGATGCAGGAAGCATCAAAAGAAGATGGAAGGAATACACAGAGTCACTGTACCAAAAAGAACTGGTCGATCTTCATCCATTTCAGGAGGTGGCATATGATCAAGAACCAATGGGACTGAAGGAAGAAGTCAAAGCACTGAAGGAATTGGTGAAGAACAAGGCTCCAGGAATTGATGGAATATCCATTGAGTTGTTTCAACAAACAGATGCCGAACCTTAGGCACTCACTTGGTTACACCAAGAGATTTGGAAGACAGCTACCTGGCCAACTGACTGGAAGAAATCTGTCTTTGTACCCATTCCAAAGAAAGGTGATCCCACAGAATGTGGAAATTACCAAACAATACCATTAATATCACATGCAAGTAAAATCTTACTGAAGATAATTCAAAAACGGTTGCAGTAGTATATTGATATAGAACTTTCACAGAGGTGCAAGCTGGATTCAGAAGAGGATGTGGAACAAAAGATATCATTGCTGATGTCAGATGGATCTTAGCTCAATGCAAAGAATACCAGAATGATGTTTACTTATGTTTTATTGACTATGCAAAAGCATTTGATTGTGTGGATAATAACAAATTGTGGATAACATTGAGAAGAATGGGAATTCCACAACATTAGATTGTGCTCATGAGGAACCTATACATAGATGAGGAGGCTGTTGTTCAAACAGAACAAGGGGACACTGCATAGTTTACAATCAAGAAGGAAGTGTATCAGGGTTGTATCCTTTCACCACACTTATTCAATCTATATGCTGAGTAAATAATCTGAGAAGCTGGACTATATGAAGAAGAAAATGGCATCAAGATTGGAGGAAGAATTGTTAACAACCTGAGATACGCTGATGACACAACCTTGCTTGCTGAAAGTGAGGATGATTTGAAGCACTTACTGATGAAGAATGAAGAGTACAGTCTGTTGTACTGATGAAGAATGAAGAGTACAGTCTGTTGTATGGATTGTATCTCAACATAAAGAAAACAAAAATCCTCATAACTGGACCTATATGTAGTATCATGATAAATGGAGAAAAGATTGAAGTTGTCAAAGACTTCACATTGCTTGGTTCTATAATTGACGTCAATGGAAGCAGCAGTTGGGACATCACATGATGTATAGCATTGGGCAGGTTCGCTGCTAAGAACCTCTTTCAAGTGCTGAGGAGCAAATATGTCTCCTTGAGGATAAGGTGTGTCTGACAAAAGCCATGATATTTTAAATCATCTCGTATGCATGTGAAAGCTGGACAATGAATAAGGAAGACCGAAGAAGAATTGATGCTTTTGAGTTGTGGTGCTGGCAAAGAATGCTGAAAGTACATGGACTGGTAAAAGAACTAGCAAATCTGTCCTTGAGGAAGTGCAGCCAAGAATGCTCCTTGGAAGTGAGAATGGCCAGACTTCATCTCACCTACTTTGGTCATGTTGTCAGAAGGGACCATTCCCTGGAGAAGGATGCCATGCTTGGTAAGGTGGAGGATCAACAAAAGAGGGGAGGCCCTCAACAAGATAGATTGACACAGTGGCTTTGGTGATGGGCTCTAGTATAACAAGGATCACAGAGCTGGCGCAGGACCAGGTGGTGTTTCGTTCTGCTGTGCATGGGGCTGCTAAGAGTCAGAGACTACTCAACGGCACCTAACAACAATAATTCAAAAGTGGGCCCACAGCTTTACGTGACATCATATATTAAGACTATCCAATCCTGAACCCCTTCCCACATCGAATCTCCTCCTACCCCAAGTCCAACCGTGTTTCCAAATGCCTCAGCTCACGGCTAAATTCTCAAAGCCACCAATTGCCACTGAGTCAATTCCAACTCATGACAGCTCTGCATTATGCAGAACTGTCTTCCAAAGGGTTTCTAATGGCTGATTTTTCAGAAGTAGATCCCCATGCTTTTCTTCCAAGGTGCCTCTGGACTTGAATTGGTTAGCAGTGAAGGAGGTTAACCGTGGACTTCCTCAGTTTGCTGTAATAATTAAATGAAAAGCACCTTAAAGCTTTTAGAAAGTAAGAATTGGGCATTGGGAATATGGGTATTGACTCTGCTGAAGGAAGGCATCCTTGCTGGGTGAAGGTGACACTTGAGGGCATTATTCTGGAGCAGAGCAAGCACTTTATCTGCCATTGACAAATCCCCAGATCTTCCCAGCTTCTGTTTCTCTCTACCTAAGACCTGGGTCATAGTATTTATTTACTTAAGTGATGGAGATGAAGGCAGGCTTAATTCTGGTCACCCGTCAGAGTAACACTGACCTGCCTCTTCAGGGGATTTCAGTAACCCCAAGCATCTTTGTAAGACAAAAGGAAATGGAAGGAAAAAACATGGGAAAAAAAATCACTAAATGAGCTAGAAGGAGATGATAGGATGGGATTGAAAGACTCCAAATGGTGAAATGCTTCATGAAACACTCAAATCCATGGGTGCCCTTTTAAGCAACTGGAAACAGTACAGATCCCTCTGACTTTCAGATTAGAAGGGATTTTGCAAAATAGGATACCAAACTGGAAAGTGAGGCTCCTTTATTTGCCTCTTACAAATACCCTTGGGTTGTCCATATTCTTAGGGAGAGAGGTTTGTTATAGTTTCCAAGGAATTCAAACAACCTCACTTTCTCAGCAACAATGCCACCGACGCTTTGGACAGTGAGGAGTCAACAGACAGAATCCTGCCTGGAGAATCGCAAACCACAGCAGGGGTGACCTTATTTTATAAACACATGCACATCACTTCCTAGATGCCAGGCAGTGCTCTGCAAATATTGATTCATACAGCACAACAATTTCATCATCACCAACCCCTTTTTATAGCGAGGTTAAGTACTAAGCTTACTCTGGCTTGAGTTCATGCTCGTATGCACAGCACTGTGCCATCCCTCAAGCACAGAGGAAGCGGTCCAACAGGATGTTGTCACAAATCCTGCTGCAGGGTGCTCCTGTGGGCACCTATGTGAGATTGGAAATCTTGCCAGGCCCACGTGCATCATATCAGCTCCTGAGCTATCAACTTCTCCAGTCCAGAGACAGAGTGATACAAAAGGCATGGGCTATGGAGTCAGGCAGACCTGGTTTTGAATCTTCTCCTTTCCTTTGTTGTTGTTATGTGCCATCAAGTCTGCCTGACTCATAGCGACCCCTCCTTGGGTTTCCGAAGCAGCATCACTACGGAAGTAGACTGCCCAACCTTCCTTCCGAGAAGTGGCTGGTGGGTTTGAACTGCCAGCCTTCTGGTGAGCAGTCAAGTGCCTTAGGCACTACGTTACCAGAGCTCCCACTTTTAGAACCATAGTTTCCTATCTATAAAATAGGGCTAATGTGACCTCCCCGTGTTTTGTGAAGATTAGAAATAAAGCGTGAGATGTGCTCAGAAGAGTGCTCGGTGATAGAAAAACAAAAGGTGTCCAATTTGTAAGAGTGATGTTGCATGTTTCCTTGTCAGAAGGTCCAGTGGAGAAAGTCTCAGGCTTCTGGATGACCTGGCCACCATGGAGGCAGTTCATACAGAATGGTGAACTGGCTGAAGGAAGCTCATTGTGTCAGCCAGGCTATCTTTTCCCCTTTAGATTTGGCAGACTGGGTTGCTTCTTGTCCCCACACAATGGAAAGCAATTTTACTAAGTGCTTAGCTTAATCAGTTTGTGGGTGTTCTCAAGGGCTGGGCATGCACACTTGTCATCATGATCATCCACCTGTCCCTGAAAAGCCTGCTTTTCCAGAAATCTTAGCATAGCTTCTCATATAGTCACCAGGTGATGTTTGTCTTCAGCGCACCTTTTCTTCCAGTCCTCCACATGGACTTGTAGTTTGTACCCTCTTCTACTGATACAACAAATCAATAAAAGGTTGGTTGATAAGTGCTTACAGACTTTCTCTTGGCCCATCTTAGCTACTCCCATCACAGACCACAGTTGGTTGGGAAATTTGAGCATCAGGCATCTCCTCTGTAAGTTTGGGCTAAAGTAACTGCTACAGGTTGTAGGTAGCATTTGAGACACCCTAATCAATATTAACAGCAGCAATTGTCTAAAATGATACACATGAGTTAGAGCTGTAATTCAGGCCTAGAATATTCTCTATTCTGCTGGAACTGAAACCAAGAACTCATTTCAGAGGTCACATGAAAACATGTTCCATAGATGGAAAGCAGGAAGATGCATCAGAGTATAATCTCATGGGCAATGGAAGGATGACTTTTGGGATACACTGCAGTTCAAGATCATGCTGTTTTTCTTCAATGTTTCTTTCAGAGGAAATGAAAACAGAATATACAACTAACTTCTCCCACCCCACTGCCTCCCACTTCTGCCTGTAACAGCATTTCAAGTGGGGGCATCATTCAAAAAAAAAAAAAGGATATAGGATAACTGCTCTTGGTGACAATGAGAATGTGCAGTCATTCTTCTATTATCAGCTCACTCCCCCTCAACCTCCTACCCACCACGCACATGGCAGCAACAGTGTCTGCAGCGCTGACTGAGCGGTCACTCTGTTCCTGTAGAAATTACAATAGGAAAAGATGAGATCTTCACCCCTGAAATGTATGCCAAGATAGATCATAGCATGATGGAAAGAAAGAACACACTGAGTGCCTTATTGATCTATCTGCTGACATGTGGATGGTGGGTAAGAAAAATGTATCGACAATTAGGGGGGAAATGTCACTTATTATAATTCTTCTGAAAGAGATCACTGATGCCGCATATGAATAAATCCCCTCTTCCCGAGGACTAAACCATCTTCCTCCCATCACTCAACCCTTCCAAACAGCACGGATTTAAAAATCTTGCAATTTTATTTGCATATAAAGGCCGCTAGATATAGAATATCACAATAAATTTAAAGAAACACTGCTTTCCTAAATTTCATTAACAAGATAACATAAAATAGAATAAAGCTCAACAGCATTTACAATGGGAAAACAGAAATGACTATTAGCAACAATATCTTGTGCTAGAGAAGATTGCATCGACACACAGTGCAAAATGGAGGGGAGGAAGTAAGAAGACAATTCAGGGTATTTAAATATAAAGGACAACTAAGCCTTATTTTAGTTAACTTTCATTGCATCCATTTAAATCTATACACGCTTGCAACTGCACTTTGATTTAACTCAAGCTCTTTAAGACCTTGAGTTCTGAGAAAATGTGTTAGCTTCTTCAGATGTCTGATGTGCTGCTGCTGTACAGCATCCCTTTGCAGTTGTACTGTCCTTGGCAATATTAAACTCCTAACTTAGTCATAATACACAAAAAATACTTATATATATAAACCCATATTGAAAAGGAGTCTGCACGTTCACTTTTTTTTTTTTTACTGCATGAAATACCTGCTCCTGACAGATTCCATTTCCATATTTTTAAAGCTAAAATAATTTAAAAAAGAAACAAACAATGAGACCTTGTATAAGCACAATATGGATCTCACTAGCTAAGCCATCCTTCCAACAAGGGCCGGTTTCTTCCCTGGACAGAGCTTTCTTTACAGTGAGAATGTGGAAGAAGTCTTTTTCCACATCTAGTTTTGTTGAGAAGATTGCTATAAATCAGGCCACATCTGCAAAAAAGAGGTATTACCAAGAAAACAATGACAAAAGAAACAACAAAATATCAAAAAATAAAATACTTCCAATAATACTCTTAAACAGTTGTGCAAATTTGGGTGGTTTTTTTTTTTTTTTTTTTTTAAAAAAAAACACTGCCTACATGTTTCTTCTTCTTTTTTTTTCCTCCAGCTTAAAGCATATTAAAATAAGATTTCTATCACTTTTTTTTTTTTTTAAAAAAAAAAAAGCTTGGCTGTCCTTTGGCGAACACTAACAATGGCGTGGCCTTTGAGAAAACAGAAGTTATTTTACAAATTCACAATGCTCCTTTGATTTCAAATGGATGCCCCATTTCAAGAAAGAAAAATAAAGGAGAAGCACAACCTCTAGCATCGTTCATGTTCCAGCATTTACAAAAAGGACTTACGGGATTTGGAAATAAACAAGTAAGAGAATGTAAGTTTTATAATTAGAAAAATGGCAGTTTATAGACCTTTCCTCACATTCCAATTGAGCATTAGAGCTTCAGGAACCCTGTGGGTTTGGAAGGTCAAATATAATTGGAGGGTTGGTCGGTTGAAAGCTGACTGTACACGTTGAGGCATTGATGTAGGTTGTGTAACCATCCGTCATGATGCCATAACCTGTGGGGAGAGAGTGTCACACTTACTGCAATATGTAGAAATAATGGTGACTTAATGCATGTCCATCAGGCAAGGAAAACACACACAAAAAAGTATTTGCCAGTGAATAGTGACATGAAATTCAGTTGAGTCTTTCTGGACATAACAGCTTTCAGGAGCTGTCACCTAATTTTATTCTATTTTTATTAAAGGAACAGTCCTCTATTTCAAAGGAAATTGGATTTTTTTTAAATTTCTTATTGAAACACTAAACTTGTGTGTGGGGGTAAGGGTGTGGTTTCTTTACCAGTGAGAAAAAAAGAAAAGTATTTTCCCTCTTTTAAAAATATTATTTTTATTTCTAAGCGTTATATTTACTAGTGAGTTCTGGGGAACAAAAGGAGTGACATGAGAAACTCCTGAGACCCAAAGACACCCAAACTCCAAGTGGGCTTCCGGGCAGGTAAAGGAGGGAAAGAACATGCAATTGAGAAGGAGGAGATGGGGGTGCACTGCTCACTTATCTATGCAGTACTCCTTAACCTGCTACAACAGACCTTAATAATGAATTTGATCCCATTTTACTTGAATTGTGTGGTATCCATGAACAGCTCCATTTCACTCAAAAGCATAACTAGTCAAATGTCCAGGTGACACAAGGAAACATCACATTGGGACACTTTTTCCTAAGCACACTTTAACCAAAAAAAAAAAAAACAAAACAAAAACCCATTGCCAGAGTTCTTTCTGACTTACAGTGACTCTATAGGATAGGGTAGAACTACCCCATAGGGTTTCCAAAGCTGTAACCTTTACGGAAGTTGAATGTCACATCTTTCTCCTACAGAGGGGCTGGTGGCTTCAAACCGACAACCTTTCAGTGAATAGCCAAGCACTTAACCTTGGCTTCCTTAAGCATACTTGGACACTGAATCAAAACTGACCTACTGAAGAAGGCTAAGAAAGTTTCTCTGGATCTTTGGTATTTACTTTCCTTTCAAAAACTTCAATATATTGAAATTTTTAGCATGTTTGTAAATTTCCCTGGATACTTTGTATTTGCTGCCTTATATTCTCTGAAAGAATCTGTAATTCTAGGTTGTATCAGGCTCTTATGGCACAGAAAAATATGCTCATGGAAAAAATTAAAAATTACCAGGATTTACAGAAATAACTGGTGAGGTTCCCCCCACACCACCCCACCCATTTGCTAAAAATTCCCCAAGTAAGCTTGTGGAGAGCTTAATGCGGGTCAATGGAAGGATCTCTTAAGAAAAAGAAGAGTCATTTCATTGTGCAGTGTTTAGTTCTGGAGTCATAAAGTCTTGTTATCTCTCTCCATCAAGAGGTTGGTATTTGCCCTCTCGCTGCCCTCTTTAGTTGTCTTAAGTGAATAAAAGCAAGACATATTTGAATATGATCTCCTCCCTTTTTAGCAAGTTTATTGTTTTGGGGCTTCAGTGGAATTCCCCAATTGTCAGTTTAGGTAGTTTAAAGCTAATTAATGATTATAAAAATAAATGATGAAATGCAAACTCACAGGCATGCTGCAAGAATTCAAACCTGTTGTCAAGATAATGGCCCCAAAGGTGAGCTCCCATGTCTCTGTCTCCCCTCTGTGCACCTCTCCCCTAGCATGTCTTAGACAGATGCCCTCCTTTCCAGGGAGTAAGGGATAGGCTCAAAGTCAAGGCAGACTCACAGGAGCATCACCCCTCTTTTCCATCCACTTAGCTGATGCCTGCACTTGGAGCACGTGCAATTTTCTGGGCTTCTGTTGGATGGTTTTCAATATGCTTTTTTACCTTTTCTAACCAGGAAGCCACTAGACGTGTGGGCTTTGGAAGCAAACTTTGTTTTTTGCCTCATCAAGCACATAACCCTAAACACCTCAACTTGACTGCAGATTCTTAAATAACACCAGAGAGCAGTTGTAGGCAGCGTCTGGAGAGAACACGGAGGCTGCTTTCCTAAACGCACCTGCTGCACACTAGCATGTGGGACCGGGCAGCTTAGGAGGGCCACATAACCAAGGCTTGAAGAAAGAGGCTTTGTATCTGTCCATAGGTCAAGTTACCCCTGGCCTGAAAATGGCAGAGCAGACAAAGCCCAAAGCCCCAAAGGTTCCTGTGAGGACTCTGGGTTCTGTAAACTTGACTCAGCTTACCCTTGAAAGGCAGATAATGGCAACTAGACTAGTTTCTTTTCAGGGAAGACCTAATTGCTCTTTCTCACTCAACTAATAGTCCTAATAATTTCTGAGAAGTCTGAAATGGTTTTCTAAGGTTACTAAGGAATGTCTCCCTGCAAATGTACAAGTTCCTGCCACTTCTGTTACACAGCTTTTACGGTATGCCTGAAGTTACAGTAGAGAATGTCTTATCTTTCTGGGTCTTTGCGTATATTCTATATGAAATACAATATTTATAGGTTGGAAAGGACTATGAAAGTTATTTAGTCTAATAGCTGGGCCATTTCCTCTAACTTTCTTAAATAGAAAAATTTTCCATATTTAACTCAGAGTTGCTTTACAGTAGTGGTTAGCAAACATTCCTCAACAGAGCCCAAAGATTCCAGAAATTGTCTTGGGGAGTGCTGGGTTTGGGATAAGGCATGCCAGACCTGCTTCCCACCCTCCACTCTGCTTAAAACAGAGCAGCTCCACGTAAAATATTTATCATCTTTATATGGTCAGAACTCCTTAGAACATTTCATATTATAAAAAGTATTCCACTGCTAAAAACAGTTTGAAAAGCCCTGCTGCAGTTATTCCCACCTTTGCTAAGGTCTCCCCTTGTAGAATGAGGTCATGAATAATGACACATGCTGGGAATTCCTTTCTTCTGTTCTTACCTTCATGTATTCCACCAAACACGTGGAGCTTGGGCCGGACTCGCCTTTGGACTGTGTTTAACAGCTCCACACAGCCCACTCTTTGAAGCTCCTTTGGAACCCAGTCTCGAAAACCTATGGGCAAAATGCAATCGATACTCTCAATTTTCTTCCTGCAGGTAAGGTTTCATTTAGATTTTCAGGAAGCCATAACTCATAGAAGGTTTATTACATTATCTGTAATCCTCGCCTCTCCATTAATGCTCACAATGGCTTTTAAGAAACTTTTCTCTTGTCACTTTGTCTGCTTTAGGTCTGTGA